TGAGAAAAGGAAGAAGAACCTGGCACCCCATCTAGCTAAGAAGTGACCAATATATAAATAATTGATTAGAGAAGATGGGTTTTCTTGTTGTTGAACGAACAGAGGCTCCCTCAATATGATGTTTTCTTCCATATCAGATTCTTCCCTTCACTCCTTTTGACCATTAGTATCACAATGGTTACTCTTAACCAAGCAACATGCAATTTCTTTAATTCATGTGTCAATATGATATGATGAGTTCATTGATACAAATAAATAAATAAATAAATAATAATCGGTGAGGGAAACATATGTATTAATCAAAGATATAAAATAATAGTTTCGTTGAATTGCAGCTAGAATCTCAGTTAGAGTATTATATATGAGCTAAGAACGAGTCTGCGTTGAGCAGTGTAGCCACGTAAATGACACATGGAGGGGGTAGTGTAACATCTGACTACACCTACCTAACAACAAATGCACGAAATATCTGACCATGGATCTTTCCTTATAGATCAGGGCAATTTTTTCATATATATATATATATATATATATATATATATATATATTGAATATAAAAGTTGAATTTTGTCATCAATTGAAGATTCGAATATGCTTGCAGAAAACAACTAGTGGGGATGCTATTATTTTCTTGAGTATTTTTTTTTTTAAAGAACTACTCGTCATATAGATTTGGAAGTTTTATTTATTCAATTATTGAATAATAGCTATACATATTATATTAATTATTTGTGCCAATTCTTATAAAAATCATAATAATAATAATAATAAAATTATTAAATTATAAGTTGAGAATTAACCATCTTATCTGTAAGTTCTACGACAAGACCCATTTTTCAAAAAACATGTGAAATTTATTATGCAGGTGGAGGATAATGTTAAATAATTCTGAATTTAAATTTAACAGTGGATTTTTCAATCTCCTCTCTTTATCGTAACTGTTAACTTAACTGAAAGAATATATATTTTATTACAATTATAAAACATAATCCTTATGTTTGAATTATTATATAAAGATTTGTTTAAATGAAGGTATTTATGATCATAAGATGAAACAATTAACCGTATCTATTGCTTGAATTTCATGAATTTTTAACAAGTCAAATTACTCTAAAATTGAAATAATTACTTAGAAGGCTATAACTTCATTGAGTATAAATATAAATGATACAGGCTATCAAAAAAAAAAAAAAAATATAAATGATACAGTGCTTATCTTGTTTGTTATTATTTTATAATAATTACAAGCCGAAATGTCTCATGCATGCCATCATCTCTTTTGTATACTTTCATGTCCCGTCCCATCATTCCACCAGCAGACATGGCACCAGTTGTGTACTGCAAGCATATTATTAATTAAGTGAAGTTTATATTATTCTTAATTATTAATTTTTTTAATTTATATTAAACTCATGTAAGGATATTTGATTTATATAAGTTTATTCAACAATAAATTTTTTAAAAATACACTATACAAATATTGAAAATATAATTTTTAATTAACAAATTAATACATACTTTATTTATTTATTTTTTGATATATCAATCTTAATTAATTAATTATTTATTTATTTATTTATTCCTAAACTTCAATTCTTTAAGTAAACTATAGGACAAACCCAAAATCGGGCTTAGTTGGGGCAAAATATTATTAATCAGGTTTCTCCTTTAGCGAGAAATTGCTCATTGTGGCTCATTTTGTTTTCTTCCCTTCTAGTGCTATTGCTATTTCTATATTTGCTTTATGTGTAGTATGTAACCTTAGCTGAAAAATTAGCAACAAACTAATGTAGTAAGGGATAATAAGCAACTGGTTGGGGGTTCGAATCCCAACTCTTGTGAATGGAAAATATTCTGTAACCAGCTCTTTACCGCTTTGTGCGCTGAGCCGGGGTGAGTAATTAGTCTCATGGCTATCGACTGTGTGAATACCCGGATGTAATCCAAAAAAATGTAATAAAGGATAACGTGTCATGACTTGTGAGTTGATTCGCAACATGATACATCAAAATACGGATTGTGTTGACCCCTGAGATAAAATGAATTATGTGTAAGTTTGGATAAATGACACGAATTAATATCATGTTGTGTTGACGCATGTCTAAGTTTAATTTTTTTTTTTTTGTGGGTACACATATTTATTATGGAGTCATACACTCTGCATGTTAAGTGAATGGAGCCATGTCGGGCAACCACTAAGGTAATTGGGTAGGGCAATTCGGTCGGTCCAGAACAAATCTTAATTTTATTATTTCGGTCTCTACCTTACCCATATTTCTTGTTTTTTGAATATATTATTGATTCGAAGAATAATTGGAAGATTTTAGTGGTGATCTTAAAAGAAATAGAACAACTTAACCAGTGCCGTAGAATCATGGACTATAAGATAGGTGTGCAGTGCTCACAGCTACGCAGTAAATGCCTCCACAATTTACAGAGGAAAATAGTATGTCAATCGAACACAAACAATAGTGATAGGAAAAATGCAGAGAAAGACAAAAATAACAGTGCAGGCAACCCCACACAATAAAATTCATACTTCATAGTGAGCCAAGGCCAACAACTGGTAGGTGCTTGTAGTTGTAGTGAGCATGGAGAGTGGAGATTTAGTTGTGAGATACTTGATTTGCTACCAAATATTGCACCCAGTCAAAAATGTGTGGACATTATAAGGGTGACAATTTTAATGATAAAACTGCTAAAATTAAATAAATAAAAAATAATAATTTAATTATTAGCCATTCATTTATCAATAAATGATTATAACTTTTCACGTAACACAAAACACGATCACATTAAAAAAAAAAACATGAGGTAGGATGCCAATAATTGGTTTTTGAACTAACGAAGCCATTTAATCCATATAACCAACCCCGTATAGTTGGAAATGACTTGTATTTGAAGCAATTTATCATAAATTTAAAATCATACTTATAACAAATAAAAAGAATTACTTTACTTCAACTCATAAAATATAACTTCTACGATTTTTAAATAGCATCATTTGTCTTTGAAATCAAAATTAATTTTTATTCTACGTCCACACACCAAGCACTTCTTAAAAATTGATGAGAGCTATATATTCTTCAACTTCAACACATTATCCCTTTTTGTGATCCATTAAATAACAATTCAGGATCGTTTAAAAAATTTAATCATACCACTGAAATTGCACACCAATTGTGGTTATCAATAGCCCCGTACATTGAAAGTAAAAATCATAACTAGCTCAATTGGCAATTCACCTGTCCAAGAATTTGCTTTGATCAAAGATCCAAACCTTGGCCAAAGCAAATCCTTGGAATTCTTTGAAAATCAAAGAGAAACTACTTTCCCTTCAAAGGAAGATTAGTCTCACCCTTCCTCCAACGACAGTGATTTAATGCACCCTCTATTTCATTGAGGAGGTTGAACAAAGTGACTAGAGGAGGTTGTATGGTGATACCTCTAGGTTATCTAAAAAAAAAAAAATCATTGGCTACTTGGACATTTAGCCCCAGTGATCAGCCACTTTTAAATCTAAAATGCAGAAATTGGAACTGCAAGAGCCAAAACAGCTAATGAATTCTTACACATTGATAAAGTAAATCACGGCTAAACTATACCTCAAAGTGTTAAGAGTTACGATCTACGGACACGGACTCGGGACACGACACGCCGACACGTTAATTCTAAAAAATGTCATATTTCGACACGTTAGGACAAGTTTTGATATTAAATAAAATTTTTAATATATATAATATAATTTATATTTAATACATATAAGAATCCATAATAAGTCATATAACCAATCAAATATTTAAATTTCATAACATAAATATAAATAATTCTTCATACTTTGTTAATTTTTCATGTCAAATTTCATAATAGAAAAAAATTAATTTATAAATTATTTCTTTTATACTTAGTTAACAAAATAAAATTAAGATTAAAAAACAAAACAAAAAAAAACGTGTCCTAACGTGTCCGAGCATGTCTGAGCGTTGATCGCGTGTCGAAAAACATTGACTGCGTATCGAAAAAACGTGTCGGAACGTGTCGGAGAGTTGACCGCGTGTCCCCAAATGTTGACCGCGTATCGAACGCGTGTCCGACAAAAAATTTGTGTGTCCGTGCTTTCCAAGTTAAGAGTACAATCTCATGAACTTTGCACTATGTGCAAATAACACTATGTTAAAGGAAACTTAAAATATTTTACATAAATTGTCAGGCAGGTCTAGGGGGAAGTCCGTGACGGGGGACCACCACCAATGGGCTAAGCTACACCAACAATAGCAAGTGGATCCGACACCACATCTCGACCCAAAACCATAAGGCATTGGGTTCATGGGTCCATCCACTTATATACTTTTCACTTAGCTCATTACCAACCAATGTGAAACTCATCACACTTGAATATCTCAACAATCTCTCCCTTAAGTGTGAAACCCAACATTGATATGCTCCATCTGAACTGAGTACTCCAGAGCCCAAGTACTCAACCCGCCTCCTAGCCAATCACCAGGCTAGCTCGAGCACAACCCGACTCTGATACCACTGTCAGGCGAGTCCAGGGAGAAGTCCGTAGCGGGAGACCACCACCAATGGGCTAAGCTACACCAACTGTAGCAAGTGGATCCGACACCACGTCTCAACCCAAAACCTTAAGGCATTGAGTTCATGGGTTCATCCACTTATATACTCTTCACTTAGTCCACTACCAACCAATGTGGGACTCATCACACTTGAATATCTCAACAGAAATATTATATGACACAATAGTAGAGAGGAAATTATGAATAAAGGGCAAACCCAATGCATAAACTCCCTGACTTGTGAGAATAGGGACGATTGAATCAGTGTTACCTTTGCATTTTTGCAAGGAAGTTATTTCTCATACCCAAACCAATGATCTTCCAATCACAAAAGAACAATCTTATGAGTGCTAAAAAACTCGAGAGGAAATAATAAATGAATGAAAACTATTTTTAAATAAAAATGAATAGAGATATATTCACCTTCAATAATATTACAATTAAGGACAAATCCCAATGAATAAAAGTCTTCCCAACTTTGCGAGAGTAGGGATAAAAGTTGACTAAACACAACTTTATACTCAACAATTTTTTTTGCAAAGAGCCTATTGTTTTATACTCGAACTAATGACATTTTAATCACAAATGAGCCACTTTACCATTGTTTCAAGACTTTCCTCCTTAAAAATACTATAATTTGAGAAAAAGAAATATTTAAGTAGCAGACTAATTTCGTAAATAAACATGCTAGTCACGAACCCAAAATGATTTGACAATTGTCCCCCAAAGGCCCAAACCATGAGCATTAACTTGATTTTCTTTGCCTGGATAGAAAAAAATTAGAGTAGCAAATCATACAAAAATCAGAAACCAGATGTGAAACTGCATGTTACAGAAACATTCACAGTGGCTATGCATAGTAGAGCGTAGGGAAGACCTACAAAAACAATAAAAGGACAGTTTAACTAGTTAAAACCAAGAAACAAACACGAGCAGACTAGATACGTAGCTTCATCATTTGATTTGGTTTAGCATTTGGCATTTGTGAGAGGGAGAGATTATAAGAAACTTAATTCTAAACTTCTCATCATTCAAAACCAAATGGCTCACTACAACTACCTCAGCACTAAGGGTGTAAATGGGTCGACGACCTAACAGAGAACTACGGTCCAGCCTATATCAAACCAGGCTCGGCCTATTATATATAATAAAAAAACAGAACCAGACTTTTAAAAAGCCTATTTATAAAACAGGCCATAGGCTTTCTTTTACATACCATGCCTATAAGCCTACAGACCGATCTATATCATATTAGTTATTTTAAGTAAAATAAATAAAATTATTATTTTAATAATTTTAAATAAAAAAGTAATATTATTTCAATTATTTTTCTAATTATTGAATGTCTAATAGGCTTAAACAGGCCTAGGCCAAGGCCAAGGTTTTTAGTTTTTAAATATAAGTCAGACCAGACTTTTAATTTGGGCTACATAAACCTAACAGACCAGACCTAAAGTATTTTATACAGGTCTGACCTATTTAAGCCAAAACCTAGCTCAACCCAGCCCATTTACACCCTTACTCAGCACATATCCAAATATTCTAGAGCACAAAAGATACAACTTTTTAAAAATTCATCATCAGAAAATGTCACAGTCATCTTTTCTGGGAGCCTGGTTATGAATGTGAAACACAACAGTATAGTGGTCAACTACCACATCAATATCAACTGATACAATTTACAACATGCCTCAAACAGCTGCACATAAATTAACAACAATGCAAATTCAGAAGGACCTATCCAAAGCTTTTATTGGTATGTTCTCTCTTTTGATTTAGAAACAAAGTCATCAGCACACATCTGGAACAATGTTTGTATTTGAATAAGGTGCCTTCTGGAACAAAGAACAGGGCTAGTTAACCCAGTTTGTTATGCCCCATCAATTTCCAAATATTATCTCCCTAACATACCATTTTATTTTACTATATATTTGCATGTCAGTATATTCCACTTCCACATGGTAGAATCACTGTTTGCTCTTTTCATATTTCTTGAGATCAGTGGATTCCCAGAAAAAAAAGATCATTATCTATACCCTGCTTTGCTAATTCACACTTGACAGAGCTTGCCACATCACATATTTGTCTGTTTCGACAAGGTAAGGTTGCCATGACTTAATTTCGAGTCATTTGAATACTTGCGGGAGGGTAGTAAAACAAGATTTAATGGAATGAGATATAGATTGGTGGATGGTGTGCCTTAGAACAGTATGGAAAAAAGCTATACGCATGATGGAAGGTTAGATCCGTTATTCATATATTCCAGATGGTCTCTTTTTAGTCCTTTTCCTCTTCATCTCCCCCCTCTTCTTCTTTTTCCCTTCTTTAATTACTTATATATATATATATATATATATATATATATATATATATATATTATTACTATTTTATTTATTTATTTATTTTTATTTTTTATCTTTTTTCAACTCTTTCGTATCTTTTATTTGGATTCATCTACCATCGACCCCAATTAGTTTGGGATAAAGGTGTTGTTGATGTTGATATTGAATACTTAAAGTCACAAAGATACCATGTTGCAATTAAAATACTGTTCTCCCATTTTACCTAAACATGGTTGCCTTATCCATTTGAAGGAATCCCAAACTGAGTGCATACTTATTTCAAACCACAGACTCGGGTTCTATTCTTAATCTAGAATTTCTCCCCTATCCCAACCCCAACAAGTGATCTAACTAGAAAACCTTTACTAGATTTCCTCAGAAACACTATTTAACTCAGAGAAGGTAATTACATAATGCCCCTGTCAGGATAATATGGTACTACTAGCAGGCTGGCAGCCAATGTCCTTAAAGCAACAGAAAACCAACAAGATACCAAAAAGGATATCTTCTCATTATCTCTAATAACCGCCAATTAGGCGCCTAACCAGCAAATCAAGGCTTGTATAACAATCCCAAGCATTTCAGTTCAAATGAAGCAAATCAAACATTGGATGTTGTTGAAATTCAGAGAGAAAAACAGTCTGTGTGCCTTAACAACAAATGGAGAGGTGTTTATGTAACCAAAGAGGTCAAGAGGTATAATGAACGTAGACAAGTATGAACTTAAACACTACTACCCGTGTATATACAATGAACCTAGACATGGTTTTCAACACTCCCCCTCAAGCTAAATCTTACTAAGCTTTAAAATTGTTAAAAATATTAACCTTTTAACCAAACAGTATAATTTAGGCTCCACAAAACATGGCTAGAAAGGCAACTTAGGGATGGTGGAGATGATGAAGAGATGAGCATTGCTAGAAAGACAACTCAACAAGATGGCTGAATGATCATTAGTATGAAAAACTGGTTAAAATGTTGCATGACCAAAGAAGAAGAGACCTTGCTAGAGAGACAACTCAACAAGATGGCTGAATGATCATTAGTATGAAAAACTGGTTCAAATGTTGCATGACCAAAGAAGAAGAGACCTTGCTGGAATCATCATTAGCAAAAATATCCCAGCAAGCTCTTATACAAAACAAGAACTAAAAATCATCCATACCACAAGATTATTTAGGAGCCCAAAAAATATTGAGATTGAACTTAAGGCTGGTGTGCATCACAACCATGGTTGTTGGCATGACTCATTAGTGAGATGGGAGAAATCACAATGGGGATGATACACAGTGGAAGGTTGGTATACATCACTGCCAATTCATTTATCACTGTATGAGGGCCGAGCAGATAGAGCCAAACCATGTATACGAGACAAAGACCGGCAAGGCTAGATTGCATCTGGGACAAAGATAGGATCCAGAGCATATTTAGGACAAAGATTGGCAGAGCTAGATTGCAATTGAGACAAAAATCAGGGCCATTGAGTATTTGGAACAATGATTGACAGGGCAAACCACATCTAGATCTAGGACACTGGTCGAGGCCAAAGCGCAATTTCCAAATTTCTCCCCCTCTAAAGAGTGTTGAAAACATTATACTGGATACAAGGTGATGAAGGATGAGCTCAGCATCTTGTCTTAATAATTACAAGTCATCAATAGGTTTTAAATTAGTTCAACAGGTATTTCACTGCCGGGTAAGTTGGAATAGAAAACAACATATAAGAGAATTCGTAAACCATGTTAACCTTTCAAATCCAAGGGTTATTGGAAGTAGAATATAAACACCATAATGACATCTATAATTCCTCTATCTAAGCTTAGGGATAAACTATTCAACAATAATATGTAGAGAAATCACATGCCAAATTATTCCAAGCAAATTACTGGTGAAACTTGGAACAAAAAACCCATCAATATCATATTTGCTCCAACTTAGTTTCTTTGTAAAGAAGACTGGCTCTACAAATGTATACTGCTACAAATATTTAATCTAGTAAACAGTAAATAAGTTTATAAGACAAGTAAATATAAAGGCTCACCACCTAGATAAAAAACCAATATTGAAACTTTAGGTTGTTCTAACAACATATTTCAATGCCGGCTTGAGGAAACATCCTTAAGTTAAACCTCATAAGCAAAGAACGGTACATTTAATCTAAGTTCTAGTAAAGTAAGTGAATTTCTATGACCTAAATCCAAGAGAAATATGCAAATTAGATAATTTTGAAGAGTCAAATTGTGATAAATAAAATAAAGCCAATAAGGAAATAGGATATTAGATTCTTAAGTTAGAAATAAATTTGAATTCTTATAAAAGCAGACTCAAAATACATAATGATCTAAGCAGGAAGAACAAACCAACAACTTCATGAGTTCAAGCCTCAAGTTTTTTTCATTACAATAATAAATGAAGCACAAAAAGTGTATGTCACTAGGATGGCCATGACAGATTGGAATAAACTCACCTTTCACATTTATAAGCATCAAAACAAATTAAGTCTGCTTAAGAATCCTCCTTCAATTATCTGAATCAGAGTCACTTGCATTATAACCTAACAAAGATGCATCAAAACAAGTACAGTGACACTAAGTTACAGAGGAAAATAAAATGAAGCTGCTGGCAGTAACAAGGAAGGGAGGGTTAACCTGGGTGCTTATCACCAACTTTCCAAACCGAAGACCTAGTCCTTGATGCTTTGGTCAGCCAAACTCTTCCCTTAATTGCCAACATATAACATCAGTCTTGGAAACCAAAAGTCAACAAAAATAAAGTACATCCACAGACTCCACAAACCACACATTGTTAATCTAAAAAACCATTCCCCATTAAATCCCGACTAACAAGGGTAGTGGTTGCATATAAAATTACACACATTGTCTATGTTAAATAATGAAGGTGATAACACAAATCAATTGTGTTTTATATTATAAATAAACTCTAACCTTAAAACTACCGTCCGAAAAAAAGAAGACTTCAAGCTGTTACTCCCATCCATGATAGAACTTTTTATTATGTCATTCTAATAGGTACACAGGCCTCTATGCATGGAATTACAATTTACTAGTGTACAATTGAGTACAGATACTCATATATAATAATATACATGTATTAAGATCAAACAAAAGGGAGTTTTTTCAAATAGTGGCCAACTTATTCTTCTTTTCAGAAGCAACATCGCATTGAAGGGGGAGGGGTGGGGGGAAATAATAATCAGCAGTTGAATTGTTCAAGAACTTTTAATTCTACAACACACAAAAATCCAACACCCCAACAAGCCCTAGTCCAGTAAATCTAGGGAAAGTTAATTGAAGAAGACTGAAAAAAAGAGTTACCAAAAAAAAAAAAAAAAGAACCCACCTTTTGGGCATCTCTGGGAACCCCATAGCCATTGTAGTACATCTGACCCACCAAAACCTGCATGTTAATGTCCCCTGACTTAGCCTCCTTGAGAGTGTCCCTGAACCACCGCTTCACACAATCCGCCACCACCTCTGACAGCGACAAGCGGCCACTCCTCTCTCCCCCAGCGATGCTCTCCATATCCCTTTCCACCACTTCAAACCTCAATTGCAGAACGTGGGTTCTCTTCAAGTTTTGGGCTTTTTGAGACCCTGAAGAAGTGGGGGTTTTCTGGTTTCAGAATTAAAAAGGGTAAATCTTTCGCCGTGAATTGTTCAAGTAAAATCATGGGTATGTTTCAGATTGAATCAAAATAGAGAAACCACACCGGAATTGCAACATGGGTTTTCAAAGTTTTTACCTTTCCTTTTTGGGTATTTTTTGAGCTTTATGTGATGTTAACTGAAGATCATGTTTGGTTTGAATGCTGAGAATATATATATATATATATATATATATATATATAGGGACAAGATCATCTTATACCGGTGTAAGAATAATAAGTCTTACACCAAATCTTAACCATTAATTTTTTACATCTAACAGTTAAGATTTATTAGGTCTCACTCATTAATTAATTTTTAATTCCCAATAAATCTCAAGTGTTAGATGCACAGAAATCAACGGTTAAGATTTGGTGTACGATTTTTTATTCTTACACTGGTGTAAGTTGATCCTATCCCATATATATATATATATATATATATATATAGAGAGAGAGAGAGAGAGGAAATATATATATATATATATTCAGAAAAAGCTAAAGAAAGAAGAGAGAAGAGAGATTGAAAAATAAGAAAATGAAGAGGCTTACCGAGGACTAGGAGGACTGAGAAAAGCAAAGCTGCTCTCAATGGTTCTCTGCCAAGCTGTTTTGGAGGACAATTAGTCAAATTTTTTTGTTTATTAAACATTTGTTACTCCTAATTCCAATTGATATGTATCCAACATTTTGACATGCAAATAATAAATGTTTTTGATCCAATCAATGTCATTTATAAATGAATTTATCAAAATAATACATATGGGCATGCGATCGTGTGTTCAAATCGTGTATGGATGTTCTCCAAAAAAAAATCGTGTATGGATGCGTATGCATTCGTGCAAAGCAGTGAATCCAAAACTACTTAAATCTGTGTGTCATAAGGCAACTACTTAAATCATATTTATCATTATCAACATGGGATTTTTTTTTTCTTTTGGATTTGAAAAAAAGGACTTTTCACAAAACCCTCAAATTCAGCTGGTTGTACTAGATATTCAGGAGGAATGCGTCCCTTTTTTTTTTACCAGAATTTGGAATGAGTCTCTAATTAACTGTTTATGATAAATATGAGGATGCTTCTGCTTTTTTCATTTTTGGACTTATGGATGGTCATGATCTTATTTATTATGACATTCCTTTTACTGACCTTGAAGGATTTAAATATAAACCTGAATAACACTGTAAGAACGAGTTTGATATCACCAAATATATGTATCCACTGCCTTTCAACCAAAAACAAAATATCTATCCACTGCCACGGGTTGTTTGAGCTAAACCAGTAATCTCGAGTGTGATTATACAGCTTGATTCATTATTCAATTCATATATCTTTTTGACACCCTAATCTTTCAAAATCTCTCTTCCAACCTTATCATTTAGTAACAAAGATAACTGTTTACCTTCTGTGATGAAATTTGTTATTATCTGCAAGCTCATCATCATCCATTTTTGGCTCCTACATAGCATGTCCTTCTAAATTCAGAACTGTAACCAACTTAGATAAAACTAGCTTCTTTCTCTCATTTATTTGCCTGAAAGAAAAAAAAATAGGACAAAAAAAATTACTAATTTTTGCAATAAAACAAAATCTTAAACTTAGAAACAAAATGTGAATATAATAAAGTGGAATAGTGGATCATCAATTTCGAGTTGTTTTTAGAAACTTTAATTAAAAATTCTTTGCGAGTGTATAATAAAGATAAGAATAGACCTGCTTCTCTTTGTTGCATGCTTTTACACAATAATTCCCAACAAAAATTTATTTTGTTTATAATTGTTCCCGGTCCGACACTTTAGTATGGAACAAAAATTATGGTTGATTACTTCAACATTAAAGATTTTATTCCTTCACTTTTCCATCTTCGAGATGTTGTCAAGTAGTAGGACAAAACCTGATTTTCTTTCTGAATACAATATAACGTCCTATGCAGTTCTTCCATACTCTAGTTTGGTTGCTAATATATGACAAGAACAGTAGTCACAAAGAAAGAGTGGATCAGTGAACAAAGATAATGTTGGAAACTTTACACTGAAATGATTTTACTCATGTATGCGTGTATATATATATATATATAAATGGGGATATTATCACGAAACACTACACATAATTACAAAATTGGATACTCGTGACTATAAATCAAAAGATTATGACAAAACACAAATATACACGTGCTTATATAAACGAGAGAGGACATGAGAGACTTCGATGACAGGTTGATCTGGACTGGTACAGCGCTTGCACGCTAAGTCTGAAGCTGTCTTGAGTGAATTGAGTTTCACCTCCGAAAATGGATCTGCATCGATGCTAACCTGCATGCTTGTACCATGATCATTCATATATATTTGTGAAGAAAGAGGACTACGTGGAGGAGCTATATGGATGGAGCTCAGAGTATCATATATGAACATAAAGTAGGATAAAGAATCTTGCATTTGACGGAGATTTCCTATTCATTATAGGGATAAATGACCTTTCAGACCCGATTCAAGACAAGAACCAGCATATCAAAATAACGACCAGCTGAGAAGTCTTCCCATAGTAAATTCAAGAATCACTCCAACTATCTGCATCATCATCATCGTCATCACTTCCAGCCAAAACCTATTTCAATAATTAACAAATTAGTTGACCCTGGTGAAAATGGATATGGCAGTCAAGAGACAGAGATAAAAAGAAAGTGGAGCACGCGCCTGTTACAGTAAAATAAACAGAGAAAGAGAGTGAGAGACCTGGCGAATTGCATTTGCTTTCTCCAAGATGGCAGCAAACTTCAAATTTGTTGGACCTTGAATGCTAGGCCGTGTATCCACAGCAGGCTTCAAGTTGAAGGACTGAGAGGAGCAAAAAGTATTTATACAAGAATGCTTTAAATACAAAAAAGGGTACGATCAGTATAAAGAAACAAAAGTTGCAAGGTCTAACCTTTGTTCTTATCTGTTCTAACAACGAATCTCTTTCATCTACCTTTGGTGCTATTTCAGGCATAACCCGTTCTGTAACCCTCCTAAGCTGCAGTAGTTCAAAGGCAAAGTGTTATACAAGAATTAAGATTGGGGGTGTAAATAGTTCAAGCCAAACCTTAACCTAAATAAATCAGGCCATGCTTTAACTTAAATAGGTCAGACCAATGTAGATTTTTTAACCTAAGCTGACCTATTTGCCGGATGTCGGCTAAATTGTACACCTGATCTGGCCTCTTTTTAAAAAGGCCTGGCCTGCCCGACATATTAGTATACTTAAGCTTATTAGGCCTTCTAGGCCTATTAGAAATTAGAAAAAAAATAATTGAAATAATATTATTTTATAATTTAAAATTATTTAAATACTAATTTTTTTTTTATTTATCATAAAATAATATAATATAGGCGGACTTACATGCTTATAGGCTAGGTTTTTTACAAATTGGCCTATGGCCTATTTTTTAAATAGACATTTTTTTAAGTTTAAACCTAATCTATTTTACTAAATATGCCACTAGGCCATGCCTAACATAAGCTAGGTCATAGGAACCTCACAGACCATCTGGCCTATTTATACTCCAAATTAAGACTTCAAAAAGAAATTCAGTGTCATATAAGAAGTATAAACTGCCTCACCGTGCTTTTGTCATGAGCAGCAACAGCATCAATTAGAGGACTCCGAGGACGAGGAAGCTTATTCTTTGGTTTTCCATTTGTCCTTTCACTATCATAATTTGATGTTTGAGCATATGTATCCAAGGATGATGTCATTTCCCCCTCAAAGGGCACGAAACTCTGATTAGGCTCCCTACTTTCAACACTTGATGGTGACATGAGTGAGACAGACAGACATCCTTGTTCCCCTTCCACATTACTTACAGACTGATGAACTATCTTAACTTCTAAACTAGTCTCTGTCATTAACTGACTAGGAGGTTGTGTCAGTTTTTCTTGAGAAGAGATGGAATCATGTCCAGAAACAGCACATTCAGTAGTTGGTGTTGGAGGGCATGGGTTTGAATTCGGTACCATTTCTCCCTCAGAAGCAATGTGACCCTGTGAAGGCCTGTCTGTAGATACCACATTACTTATAGACTGCTGAAGTGTATCATTTGAACTAGTTTCCGTCTTTGATGAACTTGGAGGTTGAGTTGGTTTTTCTTGTGGGGAGATGGAATCGAGTCCAGAGACAGCATGTTCAGCAGGTGGTATTGCTGCACATAGTTTTGAATTATGTACCATTTCTTCCTCAGAAGCAACACCGTGCGGGGACCTTCCTGTAGACACCACATTACTTTTAGAATGCTGAAGTGTTTTGACTTCTGAACTAGTCTCCACCATTAATTGACTTGGAGGTTGAGTCAGTTTTTCTTGAGTGATGGAATCATGTCCAGAAACAGAACATTCAGCTGGGGGTATTGTTGCGCATAGATTTGAATTCTGTACCATTTCTCCCTCAGAAGCAACATCATGTGGAGGCATGCCTGTAGACACCACATTACTTAAAGACTGCTGAAGTATTTTGACTTCAGAACTAGTATCTGTCATTAATTGAATTGGAGGTTGAATAAGTTTTTCTTGTGAAGAGATGGAATCAAGCATAGAAATAGCACATTCAGCAGGCAGTACTGTTGGGTGTAGGTTTGAATTTTGTACCATATCTGCCTCGGAAGTAACAATGTAACCATGTGGAGGCCTGCCCGTAGAAGGCAATGTTAAGAAGGGGTTCTGAATTTGGTTTCTGTCCAGCATTAGGTGATTATATTGACCTTTTGCTTCATTAACCATGATAGGAAATTGTAAAGGTATAGCAACAGGATGCCCTGAAACACCCACAGAAAATCCAGAAGATTGTTGGAGCTTATCACTCTCCACAGCCATTACAGGCAAAAATTGACTCTGATACAGCAAGGTCTCTCTCTCAGAAGTTGGCAAAACAAATTGAGATTCCGTATGGGGTTTTGTTGGCTGCGTTGGTTGAACTGAGGCCTGACTTACTTCTAACTCTTCTCTCTGTGAAGCTAGGGAAGTATGTTGAACCCTGCCCATTCTCCATTGCATAGGCGGTAGAGGGGGCATAGGTGGCATTTCATCAAGATTAGCTTGAGTTGCCTTGGGAAAGTGATCAGGAACAAGAGGCTTCACTGGATCCATGACATGTTTTGTAGGGTTACTCCCCCAACCAAATGACTGTGGTAAGGAACAAGATGACGACCCTTCTTCTGCATGGATTTCTGAAGCAGATTCAGTAGTAGCATGAGGGCTTTTTTCCTCCAATTGAGATTTCTCAGAGGCAAAGTTTTGCTCATCTCTGAGCAGACATTCAGCATCCCGTTCACCAACTTGTGATTGTACTAACTGCTCAAAATCATTTTCAGACTCCAGCTGCTTATAGGAAGGTGATGAAAAACTATCTCTACCACTTTGTAAAAGATCATTCTGATCACAAGATTCTGACTGTTGACTGTCTAAACCTGAAAGTTCAGGCACCATTTTCACGTCCTCAGCAAGAACATTGTGCTGGAATTTCTCCCTTGAAGATGAATTTTGAATATTATTACATATTTCTGAATCTGGAAGATCACAGGGCACTGATTTTTTCAAGTTTGGTTGCACATCAGCCCAAGCAATTTCTGGTTGATCCACTATCTTCCGTTCCTCTAGTTCAGTCAAAGATTCTCTAGCAACTGGCCCGTGGACTTTGTCTTGTGGATCTGAAAAAGTAGAAAGAGATTCTTCTAACTTTGTAAGGTTACCCTTTGGAGAATACATGATGTCAGATGATGTAATATCTAATGATGATGCCAGTTGGTCCTCCCTCTTCTCTGCATTTGAGTCCAAGGAAATTTGAGTCAATTCTACTTCATTGGATTCCATTTCCATCACATAAGAATGTGAAGAACCCGAGAGAGGTTCTTGCAAACTTGAAAGACTCCTTGACAGAGAACAAATCAGACCTGAAGCTGGACAAGTATTGATACCCGCATCATTTTTGGCACTTTCTGCAGAAGGAACAGAATATACAGCTTTATCTTCTGATTGATCATTTTCAGTGTCCACATCATTTGCCATCACATGAATATCAGGAAATGATGGATGTTTAAATTGACCATCACCTTCAACTGGATCAACACTGCTGATGGATCCATTTATCTCATCATCATACACTGTCTTTGGTATCACTTCAAAATTTGTTTGCAGATCACAATGCAAAACTTCAATTTCTGCTGAGCCTGGTTCATCCCGTGGATTGTTATGAGTTCCTCCAGAAGATAGCTCCCCGGCGAAGCAACTCAATGGAGGAACCTTCACAACAGGAGACAAATCCTCCAAATTAAGTTGGGTTGCGATAGTACAATCCTCATCTTTTGAGTCTCGACAATCAAGCACCACCGCAGTACCCGAATTCAATCCTAATTCTTCCACAGATGAGCCAACGGGATCCTCTCCCCGGGAACCAATATCTTTACAAACCAAAATTCCAGAACAGTTTTCACTAGGAGATTCTTCATGGAACATTTTGATTTCAGAATGATCACTGCATTCATCTTCATGAGCTACTTCTAAATCATTAGAAACTTGCAAATGAACATATGGATCATCAACATCCAAGTTGTCTAGTGATGTTTTCTCAGAAGAATCCACAGGACAAGCACCATCTTTTATTAGGGAAAGAGAATCAGGCTTGGCAGTAATAGGTTCAACAAGACCTGTTCTATCTTCATCATCATCTAATCTTAAATTAAGTTCAACAGTGCCAGATGGGGTTTCATCAGATTGAGTCCCTGCAGATAGCGTCACCGGTGAGGTGGGTCCAATATCAGAACACAATACCTGTCTCGAAGTCATCAGATCAGAAGAGGTTTGCCCAGAATCAGAATTCTCTTTTTCGTGAATATGTGCATCATCATGCATGACAAACTTCCCACAATCTGTGTTTTCAAACTCAACAATTTGGGGAAGATGGTTGGATGCCCTAACTTCAACCTCCTGATCATAATATTTAGTATTTGTGACTAATATAGGTTCTGAAGGCATATTTTCAACCGCAGTGCTTAATGAATCAGAGTGAGGGAAATCAGATCTATCTTTCTTTAAAGAACTATTTTTATCTGATGTAGAGGAGTTTCCAATAGACTGAGAGTCTGAAAAGTGACCTTGCAGTTCGATACACTCATCTCCATCTCTTCTGAATGAGCTATGATTGTCTGATGTAGAGGCAGTTCCTGTTGAAAGAGCATCTGACAACCGAGCTTGCACTTCAATATGTTCTTCATTTCTATCTTGTTTGAGGGAACTAATGTCATCAGATATTGAGGAGTCTCCAAATGAGGGAGAATATGAAAATCGAAATTGTAATTGATGTTCTTCTTTATCATCGGTATCTGATACCTTTTGAATATTCAAGAAGCTTATCTTAGGTTTATACTCATTGTCTGTTTCCAATTCTGACTCCATGGTAGTTAAAGCATCCATAAAATTGTCAACCTCACTAGTCACATCATCAGAATGGTCTAAGCTGCATTCTATTTTCTTTTGCTCATCGATTGCCAATTCTGTTTCATCAGGCAACCTAATATGATTAAAAGACATTTCATCTGCCACACCATCAGGTATTTGTTCTTTCACCTTCACAAGATCTCCATTTGTCTCCCCATCCACTTTAGAAAATGGTTTTAGTTCTAATTCCTGCTCATTAGGGGATGAACAGGTGTTTTCATTTCCCAATGACTTTTTAACAGGACTAATGCTACTGATTTCAAGAATTTTAAGCCCTTCTTCGCTAGTGTCATCCGATGTCAGTGTCGCTGGCAGCGGACAGATGGAAGTTTCACAAATCATTTTATGATCAGGTGAGGGAGTTTCCAGAAATTTCCCCATGTAACTTTTCCCAGCTTTTGCTTCAACTGCAGGTCCATTCAATTGTCTTTTCTTCAACTTCACTAGACGTGCAGGATTACTATAACCATTCTCAATACGCTCCTCAAGAAGCAGTTGATGTAATCTGAAATAACAGATAATGAATTGAGCCCCCAATCAACCACTTAAAGACCTAATCAGAAGAATAATTAATGCACCACAATAAAATTATTGGAGCTTACTTAGCATGTGTTGGTACAACATTAGGGGCTTCACTGTCCCTCAACCGTGATCCTTTCTTCTGCTGAAAATGATAGAAATAATTATATATTCAAAATTGTGAATATTCAACTTTCCATGGCATTTAATTGTTTTCTATGGCAATTACAGGAATTTTCAACCCTAGTATGAACAAGAAAAAACAGTGCCGAACAGTAGTATACTTCTATCACATGTGGTCATGTATTATATGCATGCATCAAAGGCACTGCCATGTGCATGGACTACGTAATTCACACCATTCCATTTCAATTATAATTTATAAATGGGAAAAGTATTTATGTCGCTGCAGCAGAAATACTTTATCTGTCACTGATACATTTTTACCAGGATCCGCATGCGGATCCTGATATTATTTTTTTTTTTTTTTTTTAGGATCCTGGTAAAAATGTATCAGTAGTAGACAAATCTTTCTGCTGCAGAAGCAGATCCAATGAACCCTTTATAAATTTGCAGCAAGATCCCAATCAATAATGTAATACATAAAATGAAGCAAATTAGGATCACTTTCTTAAAGAAAAATCAGAGGTTCTATCATTTAAAGAGTTTTTCAGCCAACAAGTATGTTAATAATTGGTAGAATTGGCAATTTGATACCTTGACTTTACGAATTCTCTTTTCCCTGTGAACTCCTATTGTAGCTTTTACAGGTGAAGCTGACTCCAATTTAAAGAATGATGGATCAGTGTAACGCTTCAGACATGCCCCAGCCCCAGCCACATCAAACCTTTAAAGAAGCCAAAAGCCAAAAATAATTTTTTTTAAATACCTAGAACATGACAATCATTTTCTATTTATGTTGAAATCAAATGTCTGATGAATCAGTCACCATACTTGTCCAGGAGGAACAGTCTCGGAGGACCGCGGCATTCTTCATATGAATCCATTATAAATCGAGGTAAATCTCCCTGAGTAACAAGATTTTGTTCAGACCGAAGATTAGGATGCCAATCCATTCCTGCAATGCAATAACCATGTGTATTTAAACTAGCCAAGTGGCCATTGTACCTAAAGGTTATAACTTAAACCGAAATATTTTACAAGATTAACAGTATTCAAATAATGATGACAAACACATATCATATACAACGGGACCCTGATGAGTAATCTAACCTCCATTAGTAAAGAATGATGAATGATGAGTTTGAGAGAAAAACGCCTTTTCAAGTGAAGGAACTTCGGCCTCAAGCTGTTGAACACGAGCCATAAGACTCTGGCCTCTTGCAGAGGTAGCCATTACTTCTTCATGTAAATTATGGAAGATCTCAGTAGCAAACCTAACCAAAATGAAATATTTAAATGCATAGAACTTTACAACACCTAGTGACTGCAAAAACTCTAATTAAAAGAAGTTAAATGTTGATGCTGGGTAAAAATTGCCCGTACTAAAAAGGGCAGGAAATAACTTCAGATATCCAAGTACAATTGGAACTGTCAGAAAGAACTAACTTCATAGTAATCAATGACACAGAATGCCACAACTATCACAACTGTAGCAAGATACATACAGAATTATCTTGATGGTACCAGAAAACACACACACACACACACACACACACATATATATATATTTATGTATCACTTAACAGTGACAAACCAGATACACATTGATCTTTACAATATCCTCACTCACAATTCTCCAGAATTCCTCTATTAGCAATGAAACAGTAAACGCTTACAATGAAAACAGAAAACTATTACTTACTCAACAAAAGAAGAAATAACAAACACCATAAACGGATCAACAAAAGACCCACTAACAGCTCCCCCAACAAGGAAAACAACCCCTCCCCATCGAGTCCCCCTCCTCCCCAATTCAGCAATTACTTTTCAGATACCCCCACGATCCTCCTCTCTCTCCTTTATAACTAACGCCTCAGCATCTTTTCCTCCAATTACCTCCTCTCCGTTCAGCGCCTTCCACGTGTAATCCCTTATAATCTTCTCATTTTCCTCTTTTTCCTTCACATTAGGCTTGTTGTTCATGTTCACATTGGCAGAATCCACTTTGGGCTTATTATCTTGGGCCTTACTTTTCTTCTTGTGTTTCCTCTCATATACCCACTTCAGGGGTCCAACATATCTAAACCAAATTCACAAGATCAAGCCACAAGGATTAACTCAAGTGGTTTTTGAGGATGTTGTACGTAGAAGATCCTAAGATTAAGCTTTAATACACACTCCAGTACTCACTGAACGAAAATCATATCAACTGTGTTCTGTAATTATACTCAGTTATTAAAATGGTTCACTGAATTCCATTTACTCCTTATCTGATTTTAAAATGTCAGCAAATACTAAAAGAGAAAAATCATAATTAATATCAACATCAACATCACCCTTATCCCAAACTAATTGAGTCAGTATGGATAAAAAAAAGAAAGAACAGATTGCGGGGAAAAGAAATACACATGAAAAAAAAGATAAATAAATCTATTTTTTTCAAATTGATTAACATTAAACTAAAAAAATGCTTTTCAAACAGTAAATCACATTTCAGCCAAATGACTCTATTTTTCAAATTAATTAGCGTCTGGCCAAAACCTATCAGGAACTTCGTTAGTTCAAGGTTTGTAGTCTACGATCAGTCAATCAAATTCAGACCAATCCAATCTCAGCTATTACCTAGCTATCATAGTAACAATTAGAAACTATCGATGTCCACACAACACAAGGTCACCCAACACCTTCACAATTCCTGAATTTAAACCAATCTGTGCACTACAACCGCCCATTTCCCTCTATACATACAAAGTTCAAGAGCCAAAAATAAAAAGTAAAAATAAAACTAGAAAAAATCAATTAATTAATAACCAATTAACCATAAAACAACCACCAAAATTAAGCATCTACGTTTTCCTCCAATTCCGAACTCGTTCCTCAATCCATCCACAAAAACTTACAAAATTATGCTCACTCCAGCACAAAACTCCAAGATTTTACTAAATTAATTGTTTTTTTTTTTATCTTTTGCTTTTTTCAAACTCAACATTCATTCAACTAAACCGAATCACTGAAACTGCGAGTGCAAAACGCTCAAAGCTGCTCCAAATCAGAATCATGAAATTTGAGAACTCAAAGAGAGAGAGCGAGAGAGAGAGAGAAACTAACTCGGCAAGGTCTCCGAGCTGGCGCAAGAGTCCAACGAGACCAGCCATGGCGACGGCTTCGAGAAGAGCTTCGGGATCATCTTTATCGGCGGCACGGTATAGCTCGGGATCCGCCAAGCTGTACTCGTTCCTTATGTGGTACTTGGATATCGGCATTCTTCTTCGAAATTCGAATTCTGCAATTCGAAAACCGTAGTTTTCGCGATCCTCTTCCCTCTTCCTGCTATTCGATCTTCCTCAGTCTTCTTCCGGCGACTCCGCGGCCTCGTTCCACCACGGAAGAGAGAGAAACAACAAAGAATAAACAAAAAGATAGAAAGACAGAGAGAGATTCTCTTCTTTTTTTTATATAAAAAATATAAATAAAGTTTTGGGGGAAACGAAATGAATGAAGATACGGTGGTGAGAGCGTGAATCACAGACGTGAAGACAGTGGATAGAGACTCCACTCAGTATTTATTATTTAACCGAACCGTGTTACAGAAAAAGGTAATAATTGAATTAAAAAAAAAACAAATAGAAGTAAGATATTATAACAATTAATTAAAATTACTATACGTGTTATTACAAATCAATTTCATAATTAGTGGATTAACAATTATATTTATTTTTATTTTTGTATGGCTATGATTCCTCATATTTAATGTGCAAACATTAAATATGAAAAATCATAGCCATATAAATATGAAAATAAATATAAAATTTAAATATGAGAAATTATAACTATATAAAGATTGAAATAAATATAACCGTTGGATTAATATATTTGATCTAGTTGAAATTGATTAGTAATAACTCTAATTAGTTGCTGTAATATCTACCAAAAAAATTAGGGTTCGTTTTTTCTGTAGTTACTGCAGACAAGTTATCTGCAGTAAGTCCAATAGACATCGTTTTGAAACAAAAATCATAGTGATGGAAATAAATACTTTATATTTATTTTCACATTTGTATGGTTATGATTTCTCATATTTAATGATTTCACTTTAAATATGGGAAACCATGACCATATAAAGATAGAAATAAATATAACCGTTGGAACAACATAATCAATCTAACGGTGAGATTAATTGGTAGTCACTTGATAGTAACACAACTTAGTTGTCACAATATCCTTCCCCAAATAACAAAACGCAATACTCCATGGGAAATTGAAAGAGTATTTTTGTAACCAAACATTAGTTAACATACTTAAATTTGAACGCCTCTAATTACTTTCCGTATTTATCAATTCAGCCTTCAAATAATTCAAACATTTCTCTATTATCATAACAATTCAATTTCATTGATCACCATATCAAGTTGATGCACAAATTGCATATATAATAACTCCATCAAATCCTCTTATTACATCACCATCTAACACCACAAAGCCTTATCATTTAAATTATGACCATGGGAGCGTGTACCCAAAAGCTAGCCGTCTACGTGAAACTTTTTCACAAAGAATCTGATGCTAAATCAAATAAATGGTATATTGTACTTTTATTCACAATTTTCAATTTTAAAGAATAATCTTTTAAAGAATAATCTTAATTGTTAAACGTAATATATTAAATAAATTTAAATGTTAAAGATTAATTATCACATTATATGTTATCCTCATATTTTATATATATAGTTTTTTTTTAAATTAAAAAGCCTTTAAATTCTTCGAACTATCCTTGTCAGTCTCTCTTACAAGGAGTTTGCATTTTATACTCTATCCCACGAACCAATGATATATTATTAGATCTTTATAATGTTGCGAGTTAAGTTGTTAGAGAAATATAAAATAAAATTATTTAAAATTTATTTTTTATTTACTTAAACTTTTAGGTGACATTGTTATTTATAATATCAGAGTGAAAATAATCACGGAATCATAAATTTGATTATTATTATATTTATTTTTTAATAAAATTAAAAAATATAATAAAATGAATGGATTTAACTTTTAAATGAGACCAGACTTTTTATTACTCACTATCATGGTTATCATATAAGATTATCGAAAACGACATTTCTTCTGCTAGTCAGATTATTTGTCATTCATATGATGAGTCATTGGAATTTGTGTCCAATGTGAGGTCCAATCTATAACATGGTCAAATTCTAAAACTTATTATATAAAATTACCATAAATATTGTGTCGTCTAGCTTAAATTCCTTCCCAAAGCAAATGGTGGTAATATAATATTTTATAATAAATACTTTGACAATAGAATAAACTTACTTTCCTTATTAATGTAATTTTTTTATGTCTAATTATTTAGGCAATTTAAGGCACTACGACCTGATAATATCACATGTTCACCACAAATTTAGTAACTTAATAATAAAATTTTAAAACACAATGAGTAGCATAGCATAACAATAATGCAATGCATGTGAAAACATATATTCGTTTTCTGCTAAGTCAATCAAATGCTCTATTGCATGGGAGCTTAAGAAAACCAAAAACAATAAAGCATGATATTCAATAATCCATATTAATCAAAGCTTGACAAATTACATCTTTCTCTTCTTTATTTTTACAAAATGCATTAACACACATCATTTTTATTATATTATTCTTATATTACTTCTTTTAAGATTATAAAATAAAAAGTACATTTAATACACTTTTTAATATTATTTTCCTATATATATATATATATATTCCCCACAAGAACAAAGATGGAATTGGATGGTTTTCTCACATAGTTGACTGTTGAGCTGTGAAGAGTAGAGGTGAAGGAGACATAGCCATGTCACATGTCTAGCCAATTGTGACTGTTTTTGTTATTATTGTAGGGATTACTATATCATGCATGGTCCCACTTCTCAGATATTAAATCACTCAAAAAAAATGTATCACCTTTTTTAATCATGGTAAATAAATTACAGAATGCAGCCAATACCTTCAGGAATCATCGTTATGGAAAAACAAATCTTTCTTAGCTGACATATGGAAGTGGGAATGAATTGGTATGCAACTTAAATTTTACAAACGTGTGGAGTCCACATCTCTTTAGAGAACATGAGACTCGCTTCATGTGTTATCAGTCATGTATTAACATAGACTATCACCAAAATAAATCAATAAATATTGAACTTACTAATATTTTTTATGAGAACAAGAAATAGGTAGAAAATAACAATGAACAAATTGGAACAAATTTATTATATTCAACCTTCAATAACCAAACTATAGTTTGGTGATTGGGACCATTTTTTTTATTATCATTGAAAAACTTGTTATTGGTTTATAATCTATTAGGATAATATCTTAAATGACCATATTTTAAAATTAGAATAGGTATAATGGTCCTTATAAATAAATACAAAATACAAACTTTTACAGTTCAACTTTTGTGTGTGAAGACAATGCAATTTAAGTAAAGAATAAACTTATTTACCAAAAAAGAGAGAGTAAAGAATAAACTTTTAGCCAATCCATTTATTTGTTGGGTATAAATCGTCTTCAAAACTTTTAAAACCTACGTTTCACTTAAACCTAAAATTGACTGAATTGCGTAAACCATCCCGAAACTTAGCTTTCCATTCAATAGATGATGAAGACGTGTGAAATGAACAGGCTACTTTTCCACTTGTTTCAGTTTTTTTTTTTTTTTTTTTCCTATTATTGATTCTACTTGTTTCTCTGTATATACGTTGTGATTTACACAATTTAATAGTACAAAATGTGAATAAACTCTTCAATTTATATGCTAATGGTAATGGGTTGGATAAATGTTGAAAGAAGTGTAATTTTTTGTCTCAATTACTTTAAGTCTAAAAAATTAGTTTTCTTAAATACAAGAAATTGATATAAGAAATTTTTTTTTTTTGGGTAAAAAGAAATACATTTTTAAAATCCACAAGAATTTCATCTCAACACAGTGTTAAGCCTAAAATATCATCATTGAACTAATAAGTACTAGTTCAAGTGATAATGGATTTATTCTTCTTAACCAGAAATTTTGAATTCGAACCTCAAAAATAGAGAAATAAGAATAAAAAAACGATCTCAATATCATTCCAGCGCACTGCTCAAATAGATAAAAAAAATAATAATAATAACCTCATCGAAAAAAAAGGCTTATCATTATAACGCATAATATGAAAAATAGCTTTAAACCACCTTTCATGTATGTATATTTATTTTTTCGGAAAATAATTTTCTCATATTTTATTTTAACATGATCATGCGATCATATAAAAGATCTTAGTTATTGTTATCAAAAAAAAAAAAAAAAGATCTTAGTTATTAATTAATTTATAAATTAACAGTCACGATTTTATTGAAGAAATCCATAAAATGGGAAAGTAAAAATTAGCACTTTAATTGCTTACCATTAATATGTGAATGAAAGATTGTTATCTCCATTCCTATATTTTCCCAACTAAAATACTATTTGTTCTGGACGAACATTAATCTGGATTCTCTCTTGTAGTTAATGTCTGCTCTTATCTTAATCCTTAGACTATATATAGGTGTAGCCTTGGAACGGTTTCCTGTGTCGTGGGATTGGTGGTTACCATCGTGACATCGTGGCAGGCCCACTTAAAACTCCCTAGTTGGAAGTGCTGGCTGACTCAACTGACTGCTACTCCAGTACGGGCAACAGTTAAGGACATGCCTACTCGACTATTCCTGATTCCGAGTATCTCATTATGTACAAGCACGTCTAGCTCGCTGTGTTAACCCGGAATACTATTCATATTTCAAAAATTTAAACATACTTGTACACAGTCACATTGGAATATTGAATAGTTGGTTACTTTTGTCCTATCTAGTGACTATTAGGGGAGGAGTGTTGTGCACAAGGGCACAAACCCAATTGAGTACACGTGAACTGAAGCTATCAATTAGACATTGAAAAAGCAAGCTAACCAATCATCTATCACAGATTCACGGTGGATGATACTGTACATTGATTATAATTATGTTTTTGGATGTAGCTCGTCCTCAATCCACAACCCCCCAACACATAATTCACAAGCTTTTTTGAATTTACTCAGAAATTTCTGCACCCTTTTTACAGATTCTTTGATTCTTATTGAACTTTCCGAATTCACAGAGAAAGACCACATGGTACGGTTTTGGCAGCTATATTCGAATTTCCTCTTTCTAGTTTCTAACACCATAAGTGGACCTTTTCCGTTTAAATAGATAGGATTTAATTATTATTAACGAAGAAAAAACTAGACACAAAATTAACATGACCCTCCATTTACTACTTTTTAAAATTTTTCCCTTCTGACTTGTATATGCATTATATACAAATAAATAAATAAATAAAAACGTTTTGCAATTGAGTTGTTTTTCAGAGATTTTAAGATTTTGATGGTCCCCATGTTCGC